TGAGCGCCCTCCTCACCACCGTAATTCCCATCTTTGAGTCGTCGGAAAAACACACGGCCTGGGATTTGCTGTCCCCGTTGCCGATCACGGTGACGGGGGACACAGCCTAACTGACCTTAAACCCTCTTTAAGTCTGCCCCTGGATGTTGTCCGAATGACGGGAATATGCCACTTCACGGTACAGCAATGAATGACTTAAATCTGTCTCAGCCATCATAGGGAAGGGGCAGAAAAAATGTTGCCAGTGTATTGTCAGGAGGAAATGTATAAGAGGCAGCTAAACTCATTCCGTTCCAGGATTTTCTTACAGTTCAAAGTATGTTTCATAGCAAGGAGAAGCTGAAAGGATTGACTCCTATGCAAATTACAATCCTTTGGGTTCAAAACAGATGCTTGTTGCTTGAAACAATATGATGGACAAAAATTGTACAGCATGGAAGATTAAGATTTGTGAGTTGAAGCTGCTTTGATAGGCTATTGATGAGGAGTAATCCTCTCCTAATGGAAGATTCCCTGACATCAGGTCCTTGGAGGGACTCTGGGTTTTTTTTGGATCATGTTGAGCCAGGCTCAGATAAAGGCCAGAAAGTTTTCATATTTAACTGACTGACATAGTCAATTATATGAATGAGCAATTGATGCTAGGCATGGATAGATTAAAGGGACTGGACTATGCACAGAATTACACAGGCACTTGAGGCAGACCGCAGGTCATATTTGTGCTGTACTGAGATGCATTTGGAAAAAGGCCTGAGGAAATACATTTATTAAGCCAACCCACTGTCACTTGGGGCACTTTTCAAGGGCTTTCATTCACTTTTGAGTTAAAATGCTATCCACCTGTCCTTCCACGAGTGAAAGCTATATAATAAAATTTCCCAATCCCTATTCTATCTGCATTGCTTCTGATCTCATATTGCTACCAAGTGGGAGTGCCCTGGTTTGTGCATATTTTCTGCAGAGTAGGGAAGATGGCCTGGATGGAAATACATAAGATCTGGTGCCAAGGCAACAAGGGGTAAAACATGTTTTAAGTCCAGAACATGCAGATAATGTTTGAAGTGGTTCAGATGCCTCCCTAATTTACTAAACTATAAAGAGAAAGAATCATAACACAATCTTGCAAGATTGTATTATAGCCAATCTCAATAAAAGTAGTTTTAGCCTTCTTGGAGAGTTGGTTTCTTGGTCTGGTCTGTCTAGTGGGGCTGACATTTTTGTAACTATTTCTCTCTAGTTCCAAACATAAGTTGTGAGAAAAACATCCAACAATCAGCCAATAATGTGGTAATGGGTAGGATCTAATGACTAACTGCCCCATCTCTATTCTCCTTTATGCTGATGATGCAACCGTACTGTGTCTTACCCAGGTAGGCCTCAGAAGATGCCTTAAAGCTCTATCACTTTACTGCTCTAGAGAACACTTTGAAATATATTACTCAAAAACAAAAGAAGTGGTATTCTCTAGGAAATGCTCTAAGGCCCCAATTAGGTGGACAATTAATAACAAACTCATTGAGCAGGTAAAATCTTTTAAATATCTAGGTCTCTATTTTCAGTCTTCTACCTCCTGGTCTACTCAAACAAGATAGCTTCTAGTAAAAGTCCCCAAAGCATCCCTTGCAATACTAAATTTGCAAGTCAATTTGGTAACAAATATGTCCCAGTAGCTATTATACTATTTAAAACCAAAGTTCTGGGTTTGGTGCTATTTGATGATTTGGCATATTGCAGTCTTACCTTATCAGCACTACCTGCTTTGGGACTTGGTAAAACCCTGACTGAACTAAAGCAGAGGATTTGGGATCTAGATTTCTAAAATGACAGAGCCAAAGTCTCCCATCCCTTTTATAACCCAATTGCTCCTCCTCCCTGGTCTGTCCCTAGATATTTCTATAACATCTTATATACTCCGCATAGGAGATTATTTACGTTGGCCTGAATTGGGGAACTGTCTGTTAGGGCAACAACTGGTAGACATACAGGTAGTTCTCGTTTAGCAACCATAATATGTTCTGGCAAAATGGTTGCTAAGCGACATGGTCGCTAAGTGAACCATGTGTCAGGAAGGGAGGGAGAGAGAGACACTGTGAAGATCACTGGTTGCTGCTGCCTCATTCAGATAAAATTCTCTCATGCAGTAATGCCATAGTTACTTTCACTCCTACATTGTCAGGCACAGAATTTTGTGCATAAGTGCACACATTGGTTGGAAAATGCTTTACTACTGCTTACTACTGTTTATTACTGTCATATTTGCGAACGTTCACTATCCAAGATAGTTGCTAAATGAGGACTACCTGTACAGTATAAGCCTCCCATATGAAAGCCAAACTTTTCTGTTCAGACTGGGAGGTAGAATCTGTCTCATGTGCTATTAAAATATTCATTGTACACTCAATGGTGATCCAGTTTAATACTTTCAATTGTTAATACTGTAACTCTAATTGCTATAGTGACCAGGAGGCTGTTACCCTTCTCTTGGGTTACTGTCTTCAGAAAGTTCTAAGGTTGCAAAATTCTTATCAATAGCTATAGCTGTTAGAAATTGTATGGTTCCTCCCTCATGTTATTAGCTGCTAATTGCTTTAGGACTTTCTCACAATTTTAAGATTTTCTTTTTATAGTTTTTGTATGCTGGTCTTTTATTGTGCTTGGTCTTGGACCATAAATAATTTTTTATTGATCATACTGCAGCTGTATCCTCTGGATGTATTGACACTTTGAATATGCTTGCTAGGAATTCTCTGAGTTTTGCTTTACCTTTCCAAGTGGGTTGAATCATGTTTTCACGAGGAAGTGAGTTGCATTTACTCACATCTTTCATCTCCCTGAATGATGAAGATTCTGCTGCTTAACATCATGGATTTTCCTAATCTCTAATAGATTTACAGTCTCTCCCCTCCCTTTTGTCTCTCTCTCTCCAAAATGCCTATCTACATTAATTAGCATTTGTGTTCTAAATCACAGACTATAACCTTCATGGACTACAAGCTTTATGTGCCTCCCCACCTATCATTTTGTGGCTTTCCTCTGCCAGCCCCAGCTGGAGGGAGGGGGTAGTAGGGCAATCCCAGTGTGGCTGGCATAGCTGAGGACCCCCTTCATATGTTATATTTCTTTTGTAACTGCATCCACATTCATTTTTTATAACCAAGTCACCTCAATAAACTTTTCGACTGGTCAGTTACTACTGTATTCCATGTTCATTCAGCATCAATTGACTTTTATTACCTCTTGTTTTACCACACACTTCTGAAATGCCTCATTCCCATTGCATTCAATTTATTTTTCTGTTTCTCCTGATATATCCAATTCATAATCTCATATAACAAAGTGAGCAGAAGCTTCCTGTTAAACACAGCTGCTTACAACTATGTTTTGGATTACCTACAAGGGTTAGAAAGAGAGACAGTGTTTTGCTATTTCCCCTCTTTCCTTAGTAGGTGTTTCCAGCTGATAATGGGGAAGGAATGCTTGGGTCCATGGTCACTCCAGTTTTACCCCAGGCACACTCACATTATTCTTTGCAAGCTAGGATTTGTAATCCAAAACCTACCCTGCAAGCCAAGATACTGTTGCCCATACCCACCAACTACAGTAGAAGGCACCTAACATACAGTGAATGTGATAGCAAATTGTGACTGAAGTGTTTTCATGATCTGTGAAAGTCTGGATCATTCATTCTTTACTTTCTCCTCTCCTTTACTCAATTTTGTAATTAGTTCAGCCTCTTGTACACTCATTTGTTTCCTATGTGTGACTTTGAGAGCAAAATCCCATGTTTGGAGCTGAAGCTATCGTAAGTGTTGTATCATGTTAAGATTACAAGCCTGCATCCGTTTACCTGGAAGATATTTTAGATAGTTGTCTTCTGGTTCCTTGCCATAATAATCATTTCTCTGGAACTTGGCAGTTTCATAGAAAATCAAAATTTGACTTGGGTAAAATACTTTATTGGATATACAAGTAACCACAGTAAGATGAAAAGCAGCTTCTGACATATTAGAAGTCTGGTTGCACATATATGCATGGCTCAGGGTTTAAATCCTGAACTGCTTTCTCTCTCATTTTTGTAATAGACTGGTCACAACCCACTTTTCATGCTGGCTGATATGTTGCTGTCCTTCATCCTTTGTTCCTGGGTATTTACTATTCTCAGGTATCTCACTGCTTGTCTTGTCAGTTCCAATCCTTAACAATACATATAAAGTTTCAATTTTAAATATACCAAATTTCTGTATGTTTTTTCTTCTTGCACACTGTTATGTTTTAGCCTTTAACTGTAAAAGTAAACATGGAAGTTTTTACACTTTTATATAGCCTTTTATTCTAATAAAAATGAATGACAGCAGTAATGATAAAAGCCTAGCATTTGACCTGCTCCAGTACTGGAGTTTAAGTTAAGGCAGGTTTGAAGACTTTGACCATGAACAACAATACAAATTCTGGGTCCAATTCAAGGTGCTGGTTTTGACCTTTAAAGCTCTTCATGGCATGGGGCTAGATTATCTGAGGGACCACCTCTCCCAGATTGCATCTGCCTGCCCCATCAGGTCTGGAAGAGAAGGCATGCTGTGGGTCCTGTCTGCCAGGGTATTACATTTGGCGGGTCCCAGGAGGCAGGCCTTCTCTGCCATGGCGTCCACCTTGTGGAATCTTCTCCCCCCAGAAGTGAGATTAGCTCCATCCCTCTTAACATTCCACAAGTCCCTCAAGACCTGGCTATGTGATCAGGCCTGGGGGTCCCAGGGGACCAGGGAGATTTTGCGATGGCTTCCTTACTATCATCCCCTCTTGTTTTGTGCACTTTTATAGTTATTTTTTTAATTGTGACTGTTTTTATATATTTGTTTTTCATTGTTGTACACCGCCCAGAGTCACTTTTATGTGAGATGGGCAGCTACACAAATACAATAAATAAATAAATAAATAAATAAATAAATAAATAAATTTAATCCGCACTCAATCATGACCGATTCTGCGGCGACTGCCTGGATGAGTCCCTGCAGTTTTCATGGCAAGGTGTTTCAGAAGTGGTTTGCCATTGCCTCCTTCCTAGAGCGAAGCTCAGCTGGTGGACACAGGAAGACGGGGTTTCCATTGCTTTGCATCTTTTTTGTATGTGACTTCCGCGTTACCGGCAGCTGGTCCCGTCTCCCATGCAAGGTGCCGCCAGCATTTTTCCTCCCACCAGGGTAAGAGTACCCATTTATCTACTTGTGGATGCTTTCGAGCTGCTGGGTTGGCAGAAGCTAGGGATGAGACAGGAGCTCACTTTGCCACACGGAGCTGGGCTCGAACCGCTGAAGTGTCGACCACTTCTGGCCGGCAACTTCCAGCGTCATTAAGCCACTGCGCCACCGCGTCCCTAAATAATAAATTTGTTGTTGTTCAGTCGTTAAGTCATGTCCGACTCTTCGTGACCCCATGAACCATATCACGCCAGGCCTTCCTGTCCTTCACTGCCTCCCTCAGTTTCATGCTCATTGCTTCAGTGATGCTATCTAACCATCTCATCCTCTGCCATCCCCTTTTCGTTTTGCCTTCAATCTTTC